ACCGGCGAGCCATTATTCGCGTTAAATATTACATCGAGGAAGATTAATCCTTCCGCGCCGACTCTTGAAACTTCAATCGACGAAGCCTACGATAAGTCTAACGAAACTTAATCAGTCTTTTAATAAACGACGAAACCGCGAAACGAAACGGGAACGGATGCTTGTAGGTGCACGCCGCTGGCGAGTAACGATACCTAAAATAATTATGATACAAGAGAGCAGTGGATCTTCCGATTCGTTTCATCCCGTAAATTCGAAACGCTTATGCAATCGACATGTTCTGAAAATAAATAAAATTACGAGAGTCATTGGACAAGAAGTGAATTTGCTTCGCGGAGAGTTTCGATGGTTAAAAAAACTATTTCTGAGTTCTCGAGATAAAAAAAATTTCGCGAAATGTTCTTGGATTATTTACGATACTAATATCAATAATTAATACTATTTACAATACTAATATTAATCATTAATGCTATTAACAACTCGTTATATTAATTATAACAGGTAATATTAATATTCAATTAATCGAAGATTTCTCGAAGCTTTCCTTTTTTTGAGAACTTAAAAATTGATATTGAACCACTATCATTCAGAGCCACTCGTACATCACAAAAGATTGATCACAAAATTAATTCCATTATGAAATATTATTTCGAGTTGTCGTTTTTTCATGAGAGATCGGGCGAAAAGATGATCGACGATTTATTCCTCGACAGGATCGCGCGAATGGTCGGCGCGGCAGAACACCGGCAAAAATGGCGATAACGCCATGTCTAAGAATAGAACGGGCCAGTTGTTTTCCCCGCGGCTATGCCCGCAAAAATAGCCCGAGTTCCTCTCGAAATCGTGTAACGTTCCGCGCGCGCTCGCGACTAATTGTCGTTCCGTGTGCGATCGCGATCGCGCGACCGTGTCGTGCGAGCGGGCACGCGTTTCCCTGCCAGGCGCGAAAGAAACGGAGCAGTCGCCGTCTAAGATCCAGCTGGCGTTTCTAAATGTTTAAAATTTTTAGTTCGGTTCTACTTTGAATATTCTTGAAATTTTTAGTTTAGTTATCGTTTGAGCATTTTTGGAATCTTTAGTTCAGTTCTCCTTCGAATATTTCAAAAATGTTAATTTAGTTCTTATTTCATAGTTTCGAAAATTTTGAATAAAGTTCACGTGTCAAAATTTTAAAAATCTTCAGTGCCCAACTGATTTGAATATTTTTGAAATTCAATTCAGTTTGTATTTAAAGTCTTTTAAAATTTTCAGTTTTTCCAGTATCTAAAATTTCAATGTATCATTCAATTTCCGATTGAAAGAGCTTTTAGAAGTTAAAAAAGCATCTGTTGCGAAAGGTTAATGATTTGAAGTTGGCGATTGCGTTATAAACAGTACCGGTGCAAATGCGGAAATCTATGAATTGCATCTTGCAATCCTCTGCAAAAGCGGATTTCCCCGCAGAGAATCTATTTCGACCTATTATCGCCTCCGTCCGGATTCGGCAAAAAGCGGGGACACGAGCCAAAATAAATTTTTCAAAGCTGGGTCAGGGTTGGCCCGATATTTCCTCATTGCCATTGTCAAAGCCGGATCGTGGGAAACGGTGATAACACGTTGCAGAATGCATTCGCGGGTCAAACGATAGCACCATTCATCGATTCGTTCCTTCTTTGCTGATTCTTGACATTCTTCCTCTTTGTTCGTCGCGTCAGAACGCTTTCTTTGAAAATTCTTGAGAACCAATTACTGAATTTAGTAATGCAATCGTTGGAGGAATCAACAGCACTATTTTAAGCTTCTATTGTCAACGAACTTATGATAACTTAAAATATGTTCTTATAGCTTTAAAGGGCACTTCGAATAATATTTCCATGGCTTATTTGATCCTGGAATTAATAATCAACTAATCTTAGAAGTACCAAGATATTTAAACAAATATCTTTCATCTAATTTTTATAGGAAACTATGATCTACCTCCGACTGCTCTATAATATTCAAGTAACTGATAACCAACTCATACAATTTATCATCAATCGTAAGAAGGCCAAGAAAAAAGTATCGAGAGTCAACATTTTAAAGATTGATATTCAACATTAAATCTCGTATAAGATATTAACACACGAAGCATCGCAACATCTCTGTTCCCTAATTTACGTATGGTTTCTCTACGCGCCACTTGCACAAAGTGCTATCCATATTTCACAAAAAATTTCTAAACATTTCTAGCTAGGAATACAGAGTTCGAATCAATTGTTCATAACAAAGAACGCCAATCACCTTCTTTACCGACGAGGAATATACCATCGATCACAGTCCAAAGGAGATAGGAGTGGCGCAGTTCGAGCAATCAGCAGCAGAGATCGCTATCGGACAAGCCGCCCGTTACTCGCCGGACAATGGAGTATGTTAATTACGAGAAGGGGTCACGTGTTCGCGCGTAAGAACCAAGCAACGGTTTCTAGAAAGTGAAAATCCGCCGTCGAACGATGGAATTTCTTTCTAAAATCGCAGCGCGCCGAAACGTTTCCCACGAACACCTGTAAATCCGTATAAATGCCTATAATATCGCGGGATTACACGACAAGCGAACCGAGCGGAGCGAATTTTAATTATTCCGCGTTATCGCGTGACCGCTCCTAAACCGGTGCGTCGATGGAAGCTGTTCTTTATCGGTTCGTTCAAATTAAAAGATTACCGTGGCCGATAGAAAAACGGAGACTAGAACAATCCCGCGTTATCGCGCGCTATCGACGCGTTTCCGGGTATCGCTTGTAATAATTTCCTTGTTCGAGTGGTCGGCGCTTCAATAATTGCTTCTGATACGTTCGCGGGGTAATCTTAATTACACACCTGCACGCTCGCGATGACAACTTGACTCGAACCCTACGTGAAAGAGATTTTCCGTGATTACCGTTAGAAAAAGGTACGCGTTAGATAAGGTTCTTTATCGAACGGTTTTCTTCTCTGCTTTCTTGGCAAACTGAACGTTTAAATGTTAGAATTTTCTTGTAGTGCGTTCACTACGATAGTAAGAATGCTCTGTGAAAGAGATTTTAGGTGAATTTCTCGTGATTGCGGATCGTTTGCCAGGCAAACGTCGATATTGGATAATTCTTTCCATCGAACGATTGTTATCTACCTTTTTATCCATAATGTTTGTATGTCAGATTGTTTTTTTATAATGGTACAGTGATTATTTTCCATTTTCCTGGTATTAAATGATACGTTTACGCGTTGGAATTTTCTCGTGCCAGCGATCCGCTGTTCTAGGACACAGCACGAACAGTTCTGTGAAGAGTTCCTCGGTCGATGAATCCTCGAGTTTCGTGACTAATCTCGCCAAACTGACCGAGAATTATCCTTTTAGATCGTTTACTCGGTCTCGGCCGAATTCGCCGGGAATTGCGAGCGTCTAGACGCCTCCGCGTTCGCTCGTGAACGCGCGCGTCGCACGGAAACCGAGAACAACGCGTGCTTTTCGTTGGGAAATGCTCGAAGTAACGCTCGATGAAAATTAACGGCTGAATTATGAGTTTAATCCTCGTTTCTCATTAGGTGAACCTGCTCTGGGTAGTTTCCTATATTTTCCAAGTTTATAGAGGATACTTTGCTTCCGGTAAGTTTCCAGCTGTAAGCTTCTTTATAGAAGAAATTGCGAAAGTTAAACATTCACAACGGGAAACTGTGTTTTAAATTTAAGATGAACTGAACAGTACACGCATTTATTAAATTCGACTGAAAACCTTAGCCACTAGTTCAGTAACTAAATATTACTGTACGAAACAAGAAGGTTAGAAAAAGTTCCAAGTATCGTACAGTCCGTTCTCTAAACATATTCCATTCAGAACGAACAGCAATGCGTAACGGTGATTAAACGATCATAAAAATCGACGCAAGTATCGCGACTTTTATTTGTCACACGCGCACCATACGCCGTGATACGAGTTGTGTGACAAACTATTGGTAACGGTCGAATGCTATTCCATTTGTGAGTTTGTCTTGACATCGTAAGTCGAATAGAAACTAAAAACTATGTAGGATGTCTAAGAACTCGAATAACTATTTTACTTTCATGTCGAAGATTCGTTGGATTTACTAGAACTACTAGATAGATCAAAAATACCCTATCCCGTCGTCATCTTTCCCAATGATTAAAGAGACCATCGGTGTTTTCCTGAGAAACCTGACGAAAATCTAAAGCAAAACGAAGAGAATTACATGTTCATCTAAACAGGTAAATAACTGATTATCGAAAGAATTAATGTCATTTCGACTTTTAACCCTTTGCACTAGTTATGCTGGAGATAACAATAAAAGCTTCATTAAAGAAAAGAAAATCTTATTATAATAAAAGTAAATAAATCAAATAAATATAGAACATTGAATTCTACCACTTAATTTAATTAATTTCCCGGGAAATGAATACAAGCTTACACAACAACATTCAAATAGATCGAGCGCAAAGGGTTAAAATGACGCGTACACTTGAACGCAGTTAACTGGTTAACGGGTGAAAGGTTTCGGGAGCGTTCCCTCGTGTCCGCGCTCAAAACGCGAGCGCGTCGATGATGGGAATCCCAGAATCCAATTGCACCGGCCAATCGGTGTGTAGTATCGACCCGGTGGCCGTCGCGCGGAACGCGTGCAGCTACTAGCCGGCTGGAAAGCATCCGCCGCCTCCGGTTCGCCCCGCCCCCTTGACCGAGCGAAGTCGAACGGCCTCCCCCTTTCGGCCGGGAAAAGGTGAGAGTCTGAGAACCCCGGCTGCGGCCGACGTTATGTCAGGACACACACAACATATAAGGATTCCGGGGATTACCGGAAGCACGAAAGATATACTACCTGGGCCCGCGGCCCGTCACGTAGACGCCGAGAAACCGTCGCCGACGAAACCGTGTCGACGCACAACGACGACACCAGCACGGTTCGTCACGTGTATTAACACACGCGCCTCGCTCTCACGTGTCCGGCCGACGCGTTTCGACTTTTATTACTCGCGACGCGCACCGAAGCTGTTAACCACCCTGCTACCAGACGAGTCGACGTGACTCAGTGGTTTTACAATTATTGAAATAGGTTTGGTTCCGTGCAGCTTCGCGTGGATTAGCTGCCGGGAGAACTTCATGTGGGTATCAACACTAGAACTACCAAGCAGTTAACATTAGATTTACGGAACGAGTCGATTCGACTCATATTGAATTTTATAAGTATTTGGTAAATGTTTGGGTTAGTTTTTATTAACGTTATGCAAATATGTATCTTAACTGTCTACTGTTGAACCTCTAATTTCTAAGATCTAAGCGAGCGGATAACAATGTTTCTAAGAACAATGGAACAAACTGTACAGTAAATGTCAGTAGATCTAGTGTTAACACGTTTGCTGCTACCAGCGTCACGTATTTGTGACGAGCACAAGCTTATATTTTACAGGAAGCACATGAAATTAATCTTATAAATATTTTTATTTAAAGTTAAAAGTTATGGCATTATATTTAGGAAATTAATAACTTGTTCCAGTTTCATTTTTTCGATATTTTATTCAGAAGATTTATTGGATTGAAGAAAATGTTACAGTTGGGGAGGTCCTCACCGAAATAAACGCTGGTAGCGAACGTGTTAAACTGACTTTTCCAAATTTCTTTATGAAACTTATAACTGTATATTTATTAAGATTTTAATTGGTTTATAGTTCAGTGTAGGTATTACTAACTCAGCTTCTTTAACGATTTCTCACAGAAGTATCTGTACCTCCTCAGTAATTGTATAAAAAGAAATCAGGAATGGGTCATTCTGGCCCATCTATGTTAACCCCTTTACTTCTAGTGTTAACCCTTTGCGTTCCGAACATTTTCCATACATTAACACTTAACTAACCGAATAAGATCTCCTGCTTTTCCCTTAGCAACGCATTCCCTTGTATTTTGTTTATTGTTTCTTCTGTTGCTTAGCGAATCTTGAATTTGGGTTATTTTCAATCTGTCAAATAGCTTTCTTGGTTTGATAAAACAACGTTTTCAATAAGATCAGTTAAATGAGTTCAATTGTAGTTAATGGGGAAGGTTATGGTCGTAGTCCTTTTTAGGTTGCCCAAGTGTTTATTTTTCGTTTCTATAGCGAAACGTTCAAGAACCTAACATTTTGTTTTGGAAAAGATATTTTACAGATATTCATGGATTCGCGTATTTTAATTTTTTTCATCAATTTACTTTATTCGAGTGAAAAGAAGAGTTTTATCATTTGAAATCAGTCATGAGATTTGTAACGTGTATTATGTGTCCATAGCAGAACCAACGAGATACAAGGGGTTAAATCAAAATTTTACCGTTATGGCAGCCTTGCTCACGTATGTGCTCCCACGGGATGGAGCATCCCGACACGGAGGCATTTATTTTATGGTGATCTAACCGACTTTATGAACGTAACTTTAATAGTTAGTAGCGTATTGTAATTTATGAATTCCTTATTCTAATTGTGATACATATGATCATAAAATATAAGAGAATAATACATCATATAATAGATCATTATAAACTCGAAGTGGCTTAGATTTCAAAGCATTTCGAAAAGAGAATATTATAAAACAATATTTTCTTGACAACCTTTCTAAAACATAGGGCTTTGTATAGTTCAATTAGAGAATCTGTGCGTTTTGCAAATGAGCAAGCATATAGGCAGATGAGAATGTAATTTACATCGTTTCAAATTCATCGACGCAACGCTTGGTATTGCCTTTGCGAATTTCAAAACACGTTTTATACGTGTCACGTCCTTGACGTAAGGTTTCCCTGTGAATTTGATCCGCAACAGTTTCCTTCGACTCATCGCGTGACTCTGGAAGATTCTTCTGTAATTCCTTAAGACGCTCAAATCTTTCTGCTAAAATGCGTTGTGCTTCAACTAGATCGATCATTGATTCAACACGATGTTGATGCGGTGTTGCACTACTATCCTCATACACTCTATCTGTTTCTTGCGTCAATTCAGCTGTTTCGAATTCCTCTTGTAGACTTCTTGCTTCTGCATCCTTTGCTCCTACTTCAGATTGAATGCGTTCTTCTTGCTTGGCTCTCATTTCTTGTTCCAGTTTGGTACGTTCTGCTGCCTCCATTTCATGTGAAAGTTCAAGTTTTTCCAGCATAACCGTAAGTTCCTTTTGACGGTCTTCTAACTCTTCCTTGGCAGCTTGTAACGATTTCAGCTGCTCCTCCAAACGTCAAATCATTTCTTGAGCTTGATTTAATCGGCTCTCCGCCTGTCCATTTTTTTCCGCCATAGCCCTAAGCTTTTCTTCGTATTCTTGTTGTACGTAATCTTGCGTACCGCCGGTTGTCTCCAGCAGCTTCCACGCGCCTGACGGATCTTGCTCGTTCAACCGCTCTATTAGCTCGTTCTTGATTCCAACCGTCGTTAGATCTAGCCTTTTCAATATCTCCTTCAACTGCGTGACAGTAAAGCTATCCGCGCTCCTCTCTTGATCCATCTCGAATGTGTATCACGGAAAATATTGTCCAGTGCAATGAGTTAACAGTAAGCTCGTAAGTTGATTACGGTTTTGTAGTAACTGAGATGTATATATTAGGTTACGCAATGAGAAATATATTGGATTAGAACAATATTTCATGTTCTGTATTATGTTATTGAATTATGCGCAATGCATTCTGGTTTATTACATTTTTCGCATTTTCCTGAAAGCCCTATGACGCCGTTTGGCTAACGATTCTACTAGACTAAACATAACGAATTTAATGTAAGTCTTTACCAAATGAACACTACAATACTCTATTGTAGAAACTTGACTGATCTATTCTTCCAGTACCGGTTTAATCTGATCCAAAGTATATACTGTGACACCGCTTCATTCGTAAGCAACTCGACCTTCACAGTCGATATATTTTTCATTATAAATTTTACAAAGCAGTGAAGCGGCGGTTCTAGATTCAAACTGCCCAGAAATCACTCGCAAGTAATCGCAACCGTCACTAACCGTTACTATCCAATGAATATCGGACACCATCCGCTATCCTCCTTATCCTCCGATCCACTAACTAAATTCCACCAAAATCTCGATTACGACTCACCCACTATCGTTCCCGTATAAACGCTAGCTCCAATCACCTCGGTCTTGACTCGACGTCAAGATCCTCTCAGATTAGATAGCAGCAGCGCGCCAGGTGAGATAGCTGCTTCGCGGGAGGATCGGATAACAGTCCCGGCGAATGATTTCCAAAGAGACAGCAAGTGCCCAGCGTGGAGGTGCGGCCGGTGCAAGTCTCGTCTACGCGCAATCGAGTTTCTTATCCATCGATAAGGGAGCAAGGCCGACGGATTAACGCAAAATGAATCCGTCGGTAATAGATCGCGCGGGGATAATGGTATTACGGGTCGACTCGGCGCATAAAGCCCGATACACACTGTCGGCTCCCTCAAAATCCCGTCTTTGTGTATTGTTCTCTGGAAAAACGAAGACAGAGCAAGGTCGAGCCGGGATTCGTCGTCAGAACGCGTGCATTACAAAGAACTGGAGAATGTTTGATTAACCCTTTGCACTCGGTCGCAAAGGACTCAGTTTCGGGGACTCGGTCAGCACTCGGACTCAGTCGCCATTTGATTTGACGCGGTAAAACTGTGAAATCTGATATTTAATGTTGAACTTTGTATAATGCCTTGATATGTGAAATATTGGAATAAAATAGCTTTGTTCCTCAATGTACTTATGATTTCCCTTCGAGTTAGTTTCAAGGAATATCGTCTTTGTCTTGTTAACAAATGTTAAACATTTCTAGTGAGAAACTTCCGAGTGCAAAGGGTTAAACCGAGAGAATATCAAGACCTGACCGACAGTGTGTACCGTGTCTAATGTTCCCGGTCCGCATGAATGGAGAAAGGTGAACGCGTGTTCGCCAAGGACAGGCCCCTGCCTGTTCACGGACGAACGGGGACGACGTGTTGGAGCAGCGAAACGTGCAACAGCTGATTCCTCGTCGACGATGACAGATGAATGAAACATGGACCAGATGTTCGCGGCGGTACAACGTTCGCGAGAGAAGACACCTAGCTAACCTCTACGGAGGAATATTCTCTAGAAATGATCAGACCGCTAAATGTTCGGTAGCTAACCTAGGTGTGACTGGGACAGCTGGCTAATCGGTGTACTTAGCTTGAGAATGGTTTGTTTATATCTGCCTGGTTTACAGACTGGATGGAATACAGTAGAGATTGAACCATCCAGTTCAGTAACTTTTTAACACTAGAACAACCGAGCAATCAAATCGACATTTCCAAATTTGTCTATAGGAACTCTAAGAACACCGCTACTAAGATTTCAATTGAGTTATAATTCAGTTTGGGTATTACTAAATCAATTTCTTTAGTAATTCCGCAGACAAGCTATCATTGTCTTTTGAGTAACTGGGAAAGAAGAATGTAGGGACGAGTTAATTTGACCCATCTGGTAGTTCTAGTGTTAACATTAAAGCTACCGAGCAATTAAATTGACTTTTTGAAATTCCTTTATAGAAACTTCAAGAGTGCATCTATTGAAATTTTAATTGATTTACAATTCAGTTTTTGTATTGCTAAACCGATTTTTTTCATCATTTTTCAGAGAAATATGTGTTATATTTTTAATAAATGAAAAAAAAAGACATCGGGAATGGATCAATTTGACCTATCTGATACTTTTAGTGTTAAGGTAGGTTCTTAAGGACCTACCATTTTTTCTAGTTTTCTTAATGAATACTTAACACTGGAAGTACTAATTAGTTCAAAACAACCGGTCAATTGAAACCTCAGTAAGTTATTATAGTTTCTATAAAATTTTAAACACCAGTTAGTTTGATGTTAGAGGTAAAGCAGTGATGGAACCATGAGACATCAATTAGCTCCCCATCTATTCCATCATTCCTCTATTATTTCACCAGCCAGCCAACTCGTCATCCCCGCGCAACACCTGAATCGCCCGCGAACACGCGTTTGCAGGCAGTTGTCCATCAACCTGAACCAGGAACTGAAACAGCGCGCGCGACCCATCGCCGATCAAGAGGCAGAGATATCGGTGCATGGCCTGGACACGGATGATCCTCGGGTACACTTCTCGCGCGGCGGCTATTTTCCGCCTCTCTGTTTAGAGCGTGTCCCGGGACACGTGCTCGACATCTGGATGCACCGCAATCGCGGTAACTCGCTTAAAATAGAGGAGATTCCTGAGGAACTCGGGAACCGCGGCGAACGCCGGCCAAGTTGGGAACGCGACGAGTTTCTTTTTTTGTCCTCGGGGGTAGACGAATTATTAATCTGTGTGGCCGGTCGTTCGTCGTGGGGAGCGTGGCACTAACATACAGGGTGATCCAGAAATACACGATCAACGTGCAACATTCGAACGTCTGACTACCTTGCAGTGTTCTAGGGTCGCTAGCGCTTAAATTACTATAAACGATCCTGAATACAGTCTAACATCTTATTTACCCGTTGATTTTACATTAGTTTTCATAAACGTTATTCGCTAAGATTACGTATCAATTCTGATTCATGCAATTATACTACATCCCATTATTTTATTACCGTTACATCCTATTATTCTAAGAACAACACTAATAAAGTAAATCCAGGATTAATAAATTGCTGAGCGAAGTAATTAATGAATTTAACAAGAACGGGGAATCCTGAAATTTGATGAATTAAATGTTGCATCTCTGTCTTTTATCTTTTTAATTCTATATTTATTTAAAGCGTCGGCTTGCGTTTGAATAAACGGAAATGTAGTGAGCGCGCGGTTATTTGATTCGGAATTAATAAAATAGCCGTTGGGGGATGAAGGGGGATGGGTGAACGGTATCGATTGCCCTCGAAATGGTCGAAGGGAAAGGGTGCGTCGCGAAATTCCTCTTGTGTCGTTCTCCGTTCGCACGGTCTGCTTTACTAACCGAGAGCCACAGTTATTCCGCTGGGCTGGGGGCGCCACCGAGCACGAGAAAGTGGCGCCGCGTTCGGCAACCGCTCGTTTGACGAGCCATCGATACGTGGGCGCAAAATCCGAGTTGCTCCTACTTACAATACACCTCTCCTTCTTTAGACGTCCTCGTCGTTCGCCTTTCTCCTCAAGCCGCGGTTCGTAGCCGACGATCGGATCGATTTCTCGGCGAGAAAAACTCTGATCGTCGCGCGTGGATGATTGAACGAACGGAGAAAAGAACGAGGAACGATTGGAAAAGGCTAATGGCGGGTGGGCGGTAATGTTGGGCACAGAACCATGATCGAAACCTTTAACCCCTGTGTAAGCAACTCGGTACTCGTTTTTCTACGTAATTGTCACCATTTGTCGCGTTCTCGTAGGAATTCGAATAAAATAACTTTGTATTTCCGTCCTTTGAACATTCTCATATAAAATGAAGAATTTTTAAACGTAAAACGGAAACTAGGAGATGTTTAACCTCTTGGTCAAGACGTTTCTGTTCCAAAATAGTCAATGATGTCTTTTAGATTGTTTCGCGTATTAGATTGTTTCGAAATGTATTGCTCCATACCAAATGATTAACAAACAAAATTAATGTCCACATCTGCGTAAAATAGGTATAAACAAAATTCATCGCGCGAGACTTTGTCAAATCTCTAAATTCATTTCCAGCGCAAGTGGTTCAGTAGAAAATCGGAAATTTAAAAGTGGAAAACAGAACATTGTAAAATAGAACGTTTCTCAATGGAAAATCGGAGATTTGAGGGAGAGTAGAAAATTTAAAATAAGTATCAATGACTATGCTTTGCAGTACACGTAGACATGAGAATTCTCTCATTTTTCTAGTAAATTATCAAGGACGAAGTAGCTTTTACAGCGCAGTTTATAAAGGAACAGTGCAGGTGTTTAATCGTCGGTTTTCCACCGATGTACCGATAGTTCGCTCAACTTTGACCTTGGCAGAGTTACAGAGCCCAAGGCCAGGGTACCTGCCGCTTGGAAATAGAAGAGCCTGCCGCTACGGGGAACAATAGTTTCTGAGCAGCTGGCACCCCAGTAACTTCCGCTCGTCGTCGCCGAATCGAATTCCGCGGGCCCGTGCGCGGAGTGGCCGACCGGAAATTGATCGCGGAACTTTAATGGCTGCCATTTAGAACACGACGCGGCGGGACATCGAGCAACACCCTATTTCCATGAGAGCTTGAAAGCTTCGGGTGGTCTCTATTGCGACGAATTTCTTCGATACACGCGGTGGATCAAGTATAAAACATCTTACCAACAGTAGAACTACCAAACAGTTAAATTAGCTTCTTAATTTCGCTTTGTAGAAACCGTAAGCGAGAATTATTTAGATATGAACACATTAAATGCCGTGAGGGTCACCGGTGACTCTCAACCAAATCGAATTACTATAATTCATTCAATTAAACGTTGATTATTTGAAAACATTTCTATATTATAAATAATACTACATAATGCAGTGACATTCAGCTGGATGAACATGTAATAATAATACTGCAATTCAATGAAATGATTTGATATTATATTTCTTCCATTTTGTGTATTTTGTTCCATGAAATCGTGCGACGTTCAACGTGTTAACCGACTTACGTTACGGTTTGAGTACTTCTAAATCAGCATCTTCAATAATCCCTCAAAGAATCACCTGTAGCTTTTTAGCAATTGTAAAGGAATAAATTGGGAATCATCTTGACCTACTAGCAGTTCCAGAGTCAAAGCAAACGAACTCGGACAATGTAATTTGACTATTCAATAAGACTAACGATTACAAATGTTCGATTCGATTCGAAGATACAGTTTACAGTTATCAGTTAGGCTTCACTGCGATCACCTAGATTTCAACTGTAGATTAGCGACGATTGGCAATTAGAAGAATTTGTTCGTGTCTTTCACGTTCTACTACTTGCAACTATCAGCTTGAATCATCGTCAGTAACATATTTCAGATGCACTGCCCGAAATTCCGAGGTTCGCTTGCAGTCGCTGCGATAGTCCATGATTGTGCTTGCTTCAGCAGTATCGCGAGTTTGAATCGAGTATTTAACGGTTCCTAACGAAACAGGAACGAAATCGAAATGTTTGCCTTCTCTTTTGAG